CCTAGTGCTCCTAATGGCATTTGATTGTTGTGGCCTGAAAACAACCAATCAGAGCAGAGAAAGATGGAAATACACATTGGGTTGGAGGCTTGATGTTGATTATTGAGTCTCCTTCCTAGCATACATTTTTGACAGCCTGATTGGTGGTTTTTGTTTGGACCTGGTGGATTTTGCAAACGCTATTAGAAGCATTAGGAGGAGCAAGAGAAACCAGATTTTTTTACAGATTATCTGTCTCGTATATTACTGTCAGGATATAGTGAACGTTTCAATTAATATAACAAAAAGTTATTTTTATAAAAGTTACCTACTGCAGCTTTAAAGTCATTGTAATCGTATTATTAAGTACTTATATCGGTACCCGGTATTGGCAAATACCTAAATCTAAGTACTTGATATCTGCTGTACTATATAAGGGATATATCAGCTGGACATTTAACAAAAAAAAAATGCAAACAGCAGTTTCTGTACATTTAATATCATCATCTTATGTCATCTTTGTTGTTCACAGACAAATAACAAATGAAAGCTCAAAACCTGCTCTCCTCTTATCAGCTGTTAGCACACATTTGCGGGCACCTTTAACCTTTGCCATAATTTTGCGTCAAATAAAAAAAAACATTGTGTTTTTGGAATTTGTTTTTGTATATGATTGGGTAGATTAAAATATACAAAACGGATTATATTATATTATATTTTTGACATCGTATCCCAGGCAGGAGGGAGGGCGATGGAGGGCTGGAAATTGCCCCCGTGTCGGCAGTTTGAGATCCCTGCTCTATACAAATGCTGTATACCAAAGACCTTCTTCAGGCAGCTATGACGTTTACACAGACGCAATACGTCCAATTACATGTCAGTCACAGATTTATTGCGCTCATCACTTCAGGGCTGGAGGACAGGAGCTGCACGGATTACATTGGTCGGATCAATGCTGCTCCACACGCTCTGATGGATATCTATGTGGTGATGTATAAAGTAACATATTTGGTAAGTTCGTGTTACATTACATCAGAAATAAAACGTCACAACTCTGTGACCAAAGCCCATTTCTGTCCTGACAACTGTCATGTAAATGAGGAGTGAATTCAGAGGGGTCTGGTCCAAGCAGTGTGTGCACGCACTATTGGCGTCAAGTCCAGCTGGTATGCGTGAGCCTGTCCTCCAGGTCACTCTCCTCTGGGGAGTTCAACATCTTTTGTCTCCGGGGGCGGTGGCGGCGGACAGGAATGTGTCTCTAATGTTCACATGAATAAATGCAGCTCTACGACATTTCCACATGTCAGATACAGGAAGGAGTTCTTCAGAGCACTCAGCTGGACTCTCCAAATTGGCGTTTTGATCCAACACATTTACATATGTCACACAGCTCTGCCAGATCATGTATGTTTCATTGCATGCGATGGAGGTCAGCCCCACATATGAATAATTGTTTAACAAGAGTTTCCGGAGACATCGGGAGCATGCTGTATTATACCAGCCATGAAATTGTCTGATTCATTTCCGCTTAAAGGTAAATCAAACAGAAATGCATCAAACTGTGCAGTAATATCTGAGAATGATCTAAGCCTAATAGTTTCTCTCAATCATCTGTCTGGGCTCTCTGGTGAGCAATATGTTGATAAGGCCCAAACACGGCGAAGATGATTGTCCTGAAGCGATATTCAGAGTGATGCATCCTGAATGTGAGGCATGACTTATATATGAGAATCACCTCACAGGGACGTGTGCTGCTCAGAAATGGTCTTTCCATGAGCGAGGTGATCACCCTTATCAATTTTTAAAGCTCAGGTTATTGACACTAACCTGACTTATGGAGGTTATGCAGAGGCCATGGTAATGATTCCCTGAGCTTTCACATACAACACCAGAGGGGCCGGCTCTTCCTTTAAAATATCGGTTGATAGCCGACATTATTGCACCAATGAGTATTAAGGTAATGTCTGCACAGTGGGGTTCTCTTTGTCCATCTGTTGTTGCTCTGGGTATTTGTGTTCTGCCCTGTGGTGTGACTGTAAAGAGAGACATATAGACATGTCAGCATGTCGATTTGGGCCATACTGGGCTTTTATTAAACATTGGATGCTGAACGGTCAGACTGTCCACCTCTGAAATGATGGAGGTTCCTTCCTTACCACAACTATACCACAGATAACTTAAAAAAAGACATTCAATTCTATTTCTAATTGTATTGAAGGACTTTTTCATGAATAAACTGGTTTACATACTCGGTTTAAGGCAAAAGTGAAACAAATGGCTGGTTTAGTCCCTACAGCATCAGTTGCTTCATTTTAATATAATTCAGCTTTACATTAATTAATTCTACCCCTTTGTGCTAATTACAAATAATTTGTCTTAAAGTAGCATTATGCTTTTAAAATGGAACTTTCTGTAAAAAGCAAAACTGTACCAATTATCTGTTTATGTATAGCAAATTCAATTATTTCAAGCCTGTTTAAAGGGGAACTTGGC